ATTAAACGATCTCTATTTACATACAAATAAATAAAAACTTAAATAATATCTACAAAAAATATAACAATTTAATAAATATTCAAGAATATACTTATTTCATCATTATTAAAATGACCTATAAACAAAGAATCTTAAATCTTATTTACAAAAATATACTTTTAATCACGTTACATCTCTCTTTCTTTCCCCCTCTCTCTTAATTTCCTAAAATATTAATTCTGATCGGGGACACGGTAATTGGGCCGTTTATCCTAGTAGTAGAACAGGACGAGCGCGTGCAGACAAGGGCGAGCGCGATATTCGGTGCTTGGAAACGTTTCCTGTCGTTTAGCGGCAAATAGATCACGTAAGTAGCGTGGAAGAGGGGGAGGGAAAGAGAGATAGAGAGGTCGGACACGAAATGACGGACACGAGGAATTTATACGTTGGCCTGGTCACGGGCAATTGCCCCTCTCGTCACGGACTAGAATAATGTCGCGATACCGTATTGTACACGGCAAAACATAGGACAGGACCAAGGGAGAGGAAACGGCAAACCGATGACGACTCGTTCCCGTGGTCGAGACGTAGTGGCGACGGCTAGCGTTCTCGTGTCTGGCCTTGTGCGTTATTATCGTATAGATTCCTCTAGTCAGCGGTCTACGGTGTCGTTGAATTGGCAATAAGACGGGACAAACCGCGAACAATGTGACGTGATATGATGGATTTAATCGTGGCGCCTATTTAGGTCGGTGGAAAATTCGATTTTTCCCATGTTGTAAGTTGAATCTTCGATTTTGGTAGCTATGATTTTGGCAATTATTAATAATGGCGATCGGTGTATGTTGTAAAATTTGGCAAATCATTTCTTCTTTTTGCGAGTTGAAGTTTGATTTTTCGTATGATTCGGTGATAATTGTAGATAGAAAGAAGAAGTAATTTCTTTTGTGATGTTTATATGAGGATGGAGAATTGGAATTTTACGGTGTGTACAGATTTGTTGTAATTTAATGGTAGTTATATTTATTTTTTGGTGATTAATAATATATTTTTACGTGAAATCCATTTGAAATGGAAAACATAAATTGCATTCTATAATATGATTTCTTGATATCGATGTATTTCCAAATTTTAATAATTAATAACGCGATTAATAGTCAGATTTGATAAGAAATCATTTCTTTTGTAATAGTATCAGTAAATTTTTACAGTATTTCTGGAATATCTTTTAAATTAGCTCTGTTTAAAAAATACAGAATTATTTAAAAATATAAAATGTACCGAGAGATTTTCAATTTCACAAGGATTGTATCAAAATTCGAGACTCAAGTCTAGTAATAGTCTCGAGCAGAAAATAGGAATTAGATACACGACTATATGACGATGAAATAAAATTTTTGCGATTCGATCGTCTAGTCGCGCGATGACGCAGGAAATTTGGCTCGACTTTGAAAAACTTTGGCACACAAAGTGGGCTGAAGTTCAAGGTACGGTATGGTCTGGTAGTGTTTATTTGCTCGGGCACAACTTTTAGAATACAATTTCGCTCTAAACATAATTTTCACGAGCCGCGACACACGCGTATATATATATATATATATATAATAATACGAGATTGAAATTAAAAATAATTTTGGGTATCAGCCCAATTTCAATTATTCCACGAAGCGAATTGGAAATCGTGAATTCATTGTATAATTTCCATCCCCGATAGCGATTTTTAAGTTAATTTGAACGGCGTGTGCATTCGATCGAAATTCGGGTTCAGTTGTTTGCTGTCGTTCATGAAATAAAATATCTGTTGAAGGTATATGACAACGATTAAAGGAGCGCTCAAATTACAACCATCGCGTGCAAATATTTTGTTAAAAAAGAAGTTTAAATTCTACTTCGAAATCGTACAATATAATTTCTCGATAAATAGATTAGTTATTTTTATAAAATTAATAGATCATAATACTAATTACTATAGCATGTTAGAAAATGTGCAAAAGCAATTTTTTCGTATATAATAATTAAATTATATTCTAGATTATACATTTATGATAAAAAAATATCGTAGTATTATCGTACTATTATCGTAATAGTTTAATTTATTCCCATTTGTTTTTCTATATTTCGTATTAAATGCTTCTTGCTCGTAAAATAAAAATAAACGAATAATTTTCGTATTAATAAAAAGAAGACTAAACACAAACTTTACCAAATTATTTTAAATACGTACATACTTAAATATATATTGTATCGTATTAAATTTAAATCTTCTGCCTAATTATTATAAAATAACGGGATACTATCAAACGATTTAAGCACAAAGAAAAATAGAACGAAGAAAAATGTTGGAACATGAATAATAACTGCATCAAGATCGATGCAAAAAAAAAAAATATATATATATATCCTACGATATCGCAATTTTTCTTAACGCGAAATCCTCGATCACGTCGATCATTCCAATCCATTCTACGTGGAAATATGGCGGTATTGTTCACCAGCGATTTTTCCGGCGAAATTACCCACTGGTGCCACGTGAAATCGAACATCGATAACGAGCCCGTCGAATTCGACATGGTCGACGTGGAAAAGGATTAATCGTGGTTTCAATAAAAGAGAAAACACGAAGCTTTTTGCTCTCTCTTTCTCTGTCTCTCTTTCTACTATCACGCGCTCGTTGCTTTAGCGACTGGCGTTCGAAGTCGATTAAATTAATAAACGAAAACCTGGCCGCATGGAGAATTAATACTGGGCGCTATTAAAAAACGAAACGTTGGAAACGCACGATTAAATCGGGGATACGTGAATTAATGTTGGACACGAAGAAGGAGAAAAGAGAATGTCTGGATTGTAATGAGGGGTTACGCGCGGGTTTTAATTGGAATGGCGATACACGTCAATGAAATTTTTATGCTTGCGTTATTGTATTATTTTGTGAGTTTTATTGAGTTATTGTTAATCATTGTTGTATTTGATAATTAATCTTTTGTTTGGCTAAAAGTTTGGCTCGAATAGGGAGAATAATTATTATTGGTTACAAAAGTGTTCAATCATATTTGTTTCTTGTTGTTCAATCGTTCATTTTATATTGTATTTTATTTTTAAATCATTGGAATGTAAGAAATGATAATAATAAGATAGGAAATATTTATTAAAAGTAGATTATTTAATTAGTAAATATAATATTGGGTAATAGTTTTGTGATTAATTATGTATATGTATGTACGTGTATACTATGAGATGCAAAGCTTAATTTAATTGAAATATATTAATTATGTATGTTAATTAATCATCAAAATAACAAAATATGAACAAATTGTGAATATCTTTCAACAGTTTAGCAAAATTTTCCAATCAATCAAAGTTCAAAAGTCAAAGGTCAAATTCAATCTCAGTCAGTTCTGAGTTTATTACTGTCTTAAACTAAGGACTTAAACATTCAGTCTCATTTAGAACAGTAAATTAGTCTCAATCGATCAGGATCAAGTGATACAATCTAGAGGCCACGTTAAATTGTTTAAACGTTGTTTCAATTGTTTCAATAATAAAACCTCTTACCTTAAATTATTAGAAAAATTTTCAGGATCCTAAGAGTTAAATATCGAAATGCAATATTTTCAAATTTTAAAATCGTATTTCTCAAACGCGTTAAATTTTTAAAAAAATCTATGGATAAATTTTTCTCGTCCCTCTTGAATTTTCATTAGACCTTCCTGTAGATTTCCAACACCTCAATGCTTCTAATATCATTATGAAAAATTCTGAAATAACATTAATATATTTGTAGAATAAAAATCTCCTCTGAAAATCGAAATTCCATAAATTCCTCCTCTCGATGAAAATTCAACTCAATCTCGAAGCAAAATTTCCTCGCTTCACTCGATAATAGAACGCAACCCATCTCCTTCTATATCCCTCCTCGATCGTTCGCAGTGTCCATTTTATAGCGAGACGACTCGAAATTTTCAATCCCACCAATAAATCGGACCGGTTCCATGAAAATTTTATGCGCGACGAACGTTCCGGATCATCCGATACACGTCTCGAATCCGGATTGCATTCTTATTCCATGGAAACGATCCATCGTAAACCGAAGCCGAAAGACTCTGCACGACTTTAATGTTTTCGTTGTATGGCGTTTTAAAACGGAATCGAGATCTTCGTGAAACTGTTCACGAAGAGGCTTCCTCGTCGTGAAAACGCTTGGAACGATATTTAGTATCCGTCGAAATGGTCCAATCCCTCGTCGAATCCTGTTAAACTTGTCCCTCTGGTTATTTCTGCCGCGCAACGAGTTTGATGCAGGGTTCTGCAGGTGGTTGGTCAATTATTAATTGACGGGGGAAATTGAATTTGTTGAGCAGGGGATGTGGACACGAGAGATGTTTTCCTGTGTCTAATGTGACATGGAGACTTTTGGGGATGGTGTGTTGTTGGGTTTTAGGGGCGATGTTTTAGGGGATGTTAAAGTGGGAAGGGTTAGTTTTATGTTGGGGTTGGTAATTTTATAATTTGTCGTATTATTATTAATTTATAATATTCTAAGACTTGTTCATATATAGATATTCATGTAATAATTAATTTTATAATTTTATAATTTATATTTCTTAGTGATTAAATTATTTTGTAACATTTTAGTGAAATTGATTCGATGAAAATGCTTACGATCAGATTTGAAATGACTTTATATTTTATTATTATTTTCAGCACATCTTTCTGTGATTTTCTGATAAATCATTTTAACATGGATGATAAAATGAAGTATTTAATATTTGAGAATTAAACGCAATGCATAAATTGTTTCTCATTTTATGGATAAAGTATTTGCAAATGATGAGGAAGTGATTAAGAAATAATAACACCATTTAATCAATTATAAAAGACATTTATTTTCATTATTTAATAATTACAATTATTTAATAATTACAATAAAGTGTTTTTTCATTTTTTAGATTTAAAAAAAAAATTCAAAAATCTAAAAAAGGAAAATAATTTATTTATCTAATAAATCTTTTTCTGGTCCTCAGATGCTGTCGGTGAGCCCAGGAATGGAGCGCAACGGCCTCAGCGGTGGACTCGAGGATGATCCAAGCGGAGGTGGTGGTGTAGGCGGGGTTGGTAACGGCGGTGAAGGAGCCACCGATAGTATACAGGAAGTGATGGTCGCCGCTGCAAGGGATCGGGCGATCCGCGCCGGAAGTGTCCGCCAGGACCTCGCCCTCGACCTACCCCCACGGCTCCAGCTTCCGGATGGCGAGGAACGTCCGTACGGAGCGCATACCGCCCTTCACCTGCGCGACCCTGAGCAGGTGAGTTCTCTCTCTCTCTCTCTCTCTCTCTCTCTCTGCCTTGCTTCCTCTCTTCGAATATTTAACGGGTTATCCTTTATTATATTCACTCCTCTTGGGGTGCAAGTGGTTGCTCGAAGCTGGCCAAACTAAACTCGGTTGCTTGGCAAGTTTGCGCTACGTTCTGTTTGCGTTTTCGAGACTGTTGGAAGAGCGGTTTGTGCAGGAACTGAACGTTGTTTAAAGTGGAACGAGGTTTGATTGTTTGCTGCGATTTCTTTGCCTTTTTTTTCTTCTTCTTTTTTTTTTTTTTTTTTTTGATGGTACCTGATAAATATTGAATGAATATTGGTTTTAGATTAAAGAGATTTAAAGAGGAGAGAATGTTTGAGGGGAAATATGTATTGAAATTTTATTCTTGTGACTTTTTTGAACAGTATTTTTTAGAATTAAAGTACGGAAGATATTAAATCAAAAGAAATTCGAAGAAGGAAGGATGGTTATCGTTTATTAAACGAGCATTCATTGAAATGGATCGAATTCCTGTTTTCATCCTTAGAAGCTTGGAGAATTCATACATCCATAGATTTTCTACTTATCGAAATCGCAAATCTTCCGAACGTAATACTATAATGCTAATGTTGGAACGTCTGGTAGCATTTAATATCGGCATTATTAACAGAATTAAACGTGGCAAGGGGGAAGGGGTGGAATTTCAGCCGATTAACCGACCAGCTGGATCCAGACGTTTCCCAATCGGCGCCGCTTTTCATTTATCGAACCCGCGGCTCGTGGCGATTAGCCGGTCGCTAATAAGCGCATTTTCGAGTACCGGCTGGGTAATAACGCGTGTAAAAACGGATAAATTTTCCACGGTTCGTGTCCTCCAGATAAAATCGCATTCCCTCGTTCCTCATCAAGTTCGTTCTCGCATTTTCTTTCTCTCTCTCTTTCTCTCTCTTTCTCTCTCTGTTTCTGGTCTTTTTCAGTTATTTCGTGCGTGAAACGATTCGCAGGTGTAGAATTGGCATTGGGTCTCGTGTTAATCAGTGAGGAGTGCGTGCATCTTGGCCCTTTGAGGGTTCATTTTAAGGTGATATCGTAGTTGATGTTATTAAGACATGCAAATAATTAGCAAAGGTGATTACGATGTTTAAGAATTATTTGTTAAGCGCAGATGTATATATATAAAGAAAATTTTAAGATATTAAGTGATATTTTATGCAGCTTAGAAGTGGAATAACATTTTCCTCGTAATTTCTCGAAATAATTAAGAAAATATTGTGATAATTATTCGAAGAAATTGTAATATATTTAGATAATCAGATAAATATATTAATTTATGTTTTTGTTTAGTAAAGTATAATTGTTTCCTTTTTTGAAATAGATATATTTTGAAGGATAATAATCGTGTTTAGAATATAATACGATTTTTAAGAATATTTTGAAAGTTATTAAATAGATGAAATTTGATTATTATAAAGATTCTATATTTTTGTTATTTTTTAAGGTATTCTTTAATCAGAAATTGTAATAATCTTATTACAATTTAACAAATTATATTAAAATACTATAATTTTGTTTGATGATTGTTGTAAATTTTAATTCCATTTGTTTATACATTTATTTGCCATTTCACGAAATTGGAATTTTTTCCAATTTCAAGATCCTTATTTTCAATGGTGTAATTTCGATATTTTCTGGTTGAATTTCTTCTTTTTTTTATTTTCGAGCAAAGTGTATCATGTAGATTATACTTTCGCAATTTGATAGAGGGAAATGTGTCCAATTTGCATCATAATAGGCGAAAATGCATGAATGTCGGTTATAAAAATACTTTTTACACGTCAACTATCGTAGGATTATCGCAGTTATTTCAGATACCGTAACATTATCCACTGTTTCCATTGCTCCTCTGCGCCTCGTTATCCTGGATTACACGCGGCTAATTTTGGTTAATTAGCCTCTCGTCTTTTAATTTTAGAACATTTTACCCTATAATTGATTGCCCATAATACGTATAAAGCGTCTTTTAACGTTAAGCACAATTGCAATTCCTTGCTATAAATTCTTTTTTATTCCTATACATATTCCTAATTTGTAATCTTTATATTTATAAACTTGGAGTCGTATCGATACACGTTGGATAATATTTATTTTTTTCATTTTTATCTTCTCTACCTTTCGATCTTAACCTAGGATTTCTATTGTTCTCCCTGCCTCGTTATCCTAGATTATACTCGGCTAATTTTGGCTAATTAGTCTCGTGTCTTCTAATTTTAGAGCCTCGTACTACATAATTCATGATGCATAATTTGAAGCACCTTTTACGTTGGACGTAATTGCATTTACTTTTTACAAATTCCGTTTCACTCCTGTGTAATACTCTTTTTATCTACGGTATTGTGCAAAGGACTTAGAATCTATTTCAGCATTTTTCTACGGTAATTAAATCTATTTTTAGAAAATATTTCCACATTGCATGCAGAAGTATACTTTTATATTTTTTCCTTAAAAATGATTTTTCCTAGAAAGGATATTCCTCGCAGAAAATGTCATTACTTACAATTCAATCTAATACTTTCAACATTTTTTCTCAAATTTCGAAACTTTATTATTTTTCTCGTTTTAATAGAAAGTATAAAAATTAGTTTTAAATGAAAGTATAAAAATTAAATTCTTTGCAAATCAAAAGAATAATTATTATTATTATTGATAGATTATTATTTATTGATTAATTGAGTTTCAACAATTCCATTCCAGTATCATAATTTGCTAAAGTTTAAATTCTTAGGGAATAAATATAATTTAAAAAGAAAGAAAGAAAAGGTATTTTTATTTTTCAAGAATTTCTAACAGAGATACCATCGCACAGCACAGCTCCCAAACTTTTAACACTCTTTAAAATCTAAAAAGAATTTCAAAATCAAATTCTCCTTTTCCCAAATTTGCAATTTCACGTAGTCCGTTCGAAATCTCGACAAGTACCGGAAATATACCCCCACTTCCGACAGTCTGGCAGACGATCGAGTGACCGCCAACCTCGTGCCATTTTCGCCCAAGATCGCGTCGCCTTAGGATCGAGTTCTATCCTCGTCGAGGTTTCTGGATGTCGGCATCGAGCCGAAACACGCGCTTCTTCGGCGTTGCTCGAGGATCACGGGTTAGAATTTCAGTAATCCTACGCCCTTACGCGTGTATACCCACGTTACGAGACATCCTATCGACCTCCCCCATCCCCCAATTCTCGCTTCCTGCGCGAGAAAGAATATTTCACCCTTTCGTTCCTTTCCACTTCCACTTTTCACGTCAAACTCTTTTCCTTTTTTCTTTCTCATCTTCCATCTTTTGTCATCGTTCTCTGATTCGATTGGGCGTGGATATTTCGCTCGATTGATTGATAAAATACAGAGGGGCGATCGATTTTCGATTTTTTTTTTGAAATAAAAGTTTCAACTTGGTACTAGTTCATAACTAAACTCACCTCTGGTAACGTCGCATGTTCAAGAGTTGTTTGCGATATTCTGCTCGCAGTGTCGCGCGAATTATTTTCGCGAAAACTAAATATGGATTTTGTTTTCATTTTGCTCCTTCTTTTTCAACAGAGGAGATGTGTTTGAGGATTTTGGAAACACGTTTTTGCTTCTTCAAAGGTTTTTTATCATATATTTATGAAGAATGGATTGTATATAAGTAAGGTTTGAAAAGGATTTGACTTGGTATTTTTTAATTTCTTGTTTTCGATTTAAAATAATCATTTGATTGCTATTTAACCGGAAGATAATTAAGATTCCAAATTTTCGCGCGATCGTACTCAAATAATCCTTTGTATCTTTGTATATTGTTTAAGAAAAGACATAATAATTCTGTTGAATCTCTGTTGATACAAGTATTTTAATATAATCATGAAAATATAATATTATAGACAGAGGGCAATCCATTTCTCCAGCTACTCATAAAAATTCTACCATCAAACTTCGAAAAACCAATAGAAAAATGGTATCTATCTATTTATCATCATACTTTTTATCTGAAACCGGACTAAAACCAAATATTTCCCTTTCAGGAGAGCGAGATATACCAGAAATGCGTTCGACCGCCCCCGAACCGAACTGTATTCGACAGCGAGAGCCCGCCGCCTTACCGAAGCCAATCCGCATTGCTGGACGCGCCTGAACGGCTGGTCCGGTGCCACAGCGCGGGCAGTTCCCTGTTGAAGGTATTCCGAAAGTCCTCCAATCCTAGCAGTTCGACGCCAGCAGTGGTGGTTCCGCCCAGAAGACCCACCTTGTCCAGTTATTCCGAGTCCAGTAGCAACCTGAGCAACCTGTCCAGCCTAACAGTGGTCCCGTGCGAGGCTGACGAGGGTCAGCAGCAACAGCAGCAGCAGCATCATCATCATCATCATCATCACCATCATCATCACCATCATCATCATCATCATCAACATCATCAAGAACATCAGCAACAAACGTCGTCTCAACATCAGCCACCGAACGTCTGATCCGAGGCACGGCCGAGAAGGAGAGCACTCGAAGCCGCAACGACCTCGAGGAGCAACGAGTTCCTCGAGGTCGACGGACGGCG